ACATTTTAATTTAAAGTACACTAGATCCACCAATACAGTTAAAGAAATTTTGATCGATTAGAATTTAAAAAAAAATAAAAATGCAATCTAAAAAAATTATCTTGTTTAAACGTTTATATAGTCTAGATTTTAATAAATAGATTTAAATTTTGATTTTATGTCATTTATGCAGAGATGGGAAATTACTTTTACTTTTAAAACAACAATTTAATAATGATGTTGCAATTTTTTATAACGATAACAAGAACTAACTAAAAGTTAAGGCTGGAAAGTGAAGTGACTAAAAAAGTAATTCATTAATTGTGATGCGGCGATTCGTTACTTTTAAAAGTACCGAGGCGAAACATGACAGGTAACGAATTACTTTTTTCAATAAATAATGCGTAATGATGACAAGTCACTTTTCGAAAGTGACATTCCCAAACTAAACTTTTAATTAGTCATCGTTATCGTTATAAAAAATTACAACATTGTTATCAAACCGTTATTTTAAGAAGAACGGCAAAAATAACGGCAAAAATAACTTCCCATCCCTGCATTTATGTTTCATATTTTATGATGTCTAACAGTCTACTGAAAAAATAAATACGTATTTTTATTATACGTAAAAATATCCAGTCGGAAAGGTCTAGTCTATATATGTGAAAATCTAATGTGTAAAAGATTAAAACTAGCCGAAGTAAGGAAAGCCACAGCGGATTAAAAGTAGTACGAGTAAGCGTATAAATCGGACGCAAAGAGGTCAAGACTTTCCTCAATCCCTACTCTCGAGTAGATGATGACTGCGTCGTCGTACCGGAAAAGGTATGTGGCTCTGCAAGGTAAAAAGTAAAAAACCATTTTACTTGAGACGAATGCGAAGCAGATTGGTTACTGGTAAAAGCATCGGAAACCGTCTATACTCTGTATCGTAGCAACCTGACTTTGTGGATAATTCATGAAAAGCAAAAATATTTTTTAGTCCACTTTTCCTCGAATCGACAGATGAATAGTTTCATCACATGAATAGTTTATCTCTGCAAAATCCTGATCCTTAATTTCGAGCTTTACGTACACGCGTTACAAATTAATGCTTTGTAGATAATCTAGGGAAAAAACAGTGTTCTGCGACGCTACTTTTTTCATCAATCGCAATCGCTTGCTTTCGCATTGAAATTCCAATGAGTTTCTCAACTATATCGAATTTAATACGAGTACGCTTGTAAATTTACGAGTACATACCGAAAAACAGACGGCGTTAAATTAAAATCTTAAAAGTAAACAGCACGGAATAAAATCTTAGTGATAATATAATGCTCTCGTTTCAGGAATTTAAGGGTTTTTTTTATTTTGCGTAATAACGTGTATTTTTTCTTTAAATTAAAACATTGATATTAACTTGGAATTAAATCATGAGCTTTAAATGGAAATCCTCGTGATACAACCAGACAAGGACCGAGCGTGAAATTCCCGAGAGTCTAAAATTCGTGTGCATAAGTATACGCATTACAGCCACGTCTTGACGTTCATCTGTGGATTAACATTTGTGTAAGAGGCAAAAAGCACATTGAGAAACGTCAAGGATATTTCCTTGATGTTTAATAACCATGCTATGCTAAAAGTGGAGAGTGAGACGCTGCTCCGTTCTACTTCTCTCTCTCTCTCTCTCTCTCTCTCTCTCTCTCTCTCTCTCTCTTTCTCTCTTGTAAACCTTTGACGGCGACAACGTTTCTGCGAATTGTAACTGCATGTATATATACCAATCTACCTCGAAACGAAATATGCGTTTGAGGTTGAGATATATCTTGTGCAAGACACGTCATTCATATTTTCCAAAATTCAACGAAAATCTCAAACACTTTCGAGAGACAGAATATTATCATTTCCAGAAGTTGATATTTCTATTGAAAAGTGTAAAACTATAAACACATTTTACAAAAATAAAAATTACGACTATTAAAAACATGAAACATAATTTAAATCGACAATATTTCATAAAATAATATTTTATCACTCTGTCATTTTTCCTGAAAAGAAATATACATTATTTGAAAGACATTCTTACACATATAAGATAGTCCGCATGAATTCGCGAAGGCAAAGGAAAAACAATAGAGATAGAAGTAAAAGTGGCGAAGGGAAGAAATGACGTGGCGAGAGAAATGCGATCGAACTGAAGAACGAACTTCGTTCAAAACTTTATCTTTGAGAATAGAATAGAGGAATTGAAACGTCGGATGTATGTATGGTAGCTCAGAACGAAAAACACTCGGCATTCCTTTCAAGCTAGATCAAACTCAGATCCGATCAGATCTCCACACGAAAGGCTGAAACTCTATTCAAAGGAACAATAATCCGTGCCCAGCTTTTGTGCTTCTACAACGGAAAGAACAAAAAGATGGAACGTGGCCTCGATTCGCCTCACAGTTTAAACGAGGGTATTTTATTATCGATATTACGATCTCTTTATGACTGTAAACATCGTAAATGCGCTCAAAACGTCATTTCAGGCGTAGATGCGTTTGTCTTTGTAATATCCGTCTGTGGAAACATGGCCCTTGAACGAATAGCTCACCGAAGTGGGTCACAGCGAAACAAAATATATTTCTTTGTTTATTAATTTCACTATCATCTTGTTCTATTCCCTTAAGCAAAACCTTCTAAATTTCCACGTTGCTTATGCAACCACGACGACTCATAAATGTATTATTCTCTTCATGAGTCGCATTAATGCGCAGTCAGGAGGAAAATTCTGACTAGGATTTTATTCAAAATTACAAAAAGATTCACTTTAGCGTTTTAACACTTTTTTTTCTTGAAAATAAAATCGGTTAAAAATCCATCTGACATTTGATATATTGTTATTAAGATCATTACAGAATTTATGCGATGACTCGCATAACCATGGATTTAAATCCCCATCATTATCGTCATCATTATCCATCCTTCTCGCATTTCCAATTGCTTGCATCGAAAACATGTACGTATACTAAATCATTCTGTAAATAAAATTACCGGAAAATTTATGTTGACGTTATATAATGTTACACGACATATTAATAAGACGAAATAAGATGTTACAAGACTTTATTTTTCGAAACTTCTCAAGAGAACATTGCGGCCAAATACTGTCCCCGAAAATGTAAAAACGGAACCGTTCATAATGGCATTTAAAGAGTCACCATAGTTTTACGAGGAGGACACGATCCTAATGTACGACCATGAATTGACCTACATCGTCTCGCCAAATAACTTGTCTATTGGATATTAGAAAATGGATTTCGCGCAACACTGCTTTCATTGTTTTATTGTCCGAACGACGAATCGATATTCCTCCGCACGAACTTCCATTCGTCGAATTGCAGGAAGACACGCGCTCCACCAGCAGTTTCCATCTTCTTCCTAGCACCAATCTTTGCTCGCTTTCGGTAATACGAATTTTACGATTCTCTCTCTCTCTCTCTCATATATATCTTATATATATATATATATACACACATATATATATATGTACTAGTGCGCTTGCCTTCGGCGGCTCTTAGAGCTCCGTCCACCCGGTTGCGATGGTGTATCAGTCCCGCAAACATGATTTCACTATCGCGACCATAACATTATGATATCGTTAGGTCTCTTATTGCATCTCTTTCGCGTCTTTCTCGTTTGAGATATTTTTGCCCGCGCACGCTTTCTGCTCTCGTTTCATCTCGGAGAAAAAGGCTGAAGCTGTGTGTGCCTGATCTATTACTCCCCACGATGCAGCTTGCCCTTATCATCCGGAGACTTTATGATGAAAAACGTCGTCTGAGATTTCGACACCGTAGACGCTCCGCAATTCTCAGGGTATAATTCTATTTTGATAAAAATAATAATATATTTCGACATTTTAAGTAATATGGATTGTATTGTTGGTTTCATATCCGTAACAAAGCTTATTTTTCATGTACAATAACATTTTAAAAAACAAAAGTCTTTTTAAATAAAATGTTTTAGATTGTATTTTAATTTATCTTTTTGATTAAATTGATTTAATTCATAATCAAAATCGTTTTAATTATACAAGGTGTCCCATTTTAAATAACGGACAGGAATATCTCGGATGGTAAGCATTTTGGAGGAAATTTGTTTATACAAAAGTTGTAGGGTACAGACAAGGCTAACATTATGGTGACCTTGACCTTGACCTTGACGATGAGCTTCAAGGTCATTTCAATATCAAGTCAATTTTTTAAATGGAACCCCTTATTTCTCATTGCATATTCTTACAGCTCATCTCGAGAGCTTTCCAAAACACTATAATTAAGTTCATTTTCATGAAGTACTTTTCAAGTTATAAGGCTTGCAAGTTATAGCACCGCCGGCATTAGCATTACCCTAGGTGTCCAATCGACGACTAAAATCTCTTGAATGTTGTTCAGGATCATTACCTGGATAACATATATCAAGATCAAGATCATTGGAGACTGTTCCTCTTATTTTCACTTTTGCACTAAAAATTTATTTCTACATAAAAATGAAAATAAGAGGTACAACCTCCAATAGTCTTGATCTTGACAAATGTTATCTAGGTAATAATCCTGAACAACATTCAAGAGATTTTAGCCGTCGATTGGACACCTAGGGTAATGTTAATATCGGCGATGCTGTAACTTGCAAGCCTTATAATTTGAAAAGTACTTAAGGAAAATGAACTTAATTATAGTGTTTTGGAAAGCTCTCGAGATGAGCTGTAAGAATATGCAATGAGAAATAAGGGGTTCCATTTAAAAAATTGACTTGATATTGAAATGACCTTGAAGGTCATCGTCAAGGTCAAGGTCACCATAAGTTAGCCTTGTCTGTACCCTACAACTTTTGTATAAACAAATTTCCTCCAAAATGCTTACCATCCGAGATATTCCTATCCGTTATTTAAAATGGAACACCCTGTATAGGCTGTTCTTATGATCAAATTCTTTATTTATTGGACCAGAATTATAATTATTTATAATTATAATTTATAATTAAATATGGACTTATTTTAGGTACATGGCCATCGTGAATCCTTTGAAACCACGTATGGGAAAAAAGGCGACGCTGTGCGTTGCAATCATAATTTGGATCATCGGGGCAATTTTATCTTTACCGATGTTACTTTTCTACACCACGTACACTCAGAACTTCATGAATGGCGAAGTCCGCGTCGTCTGCTATAGCGATTGGCCGAACACAGACGATAATGGACTCAGCTACGATGAATATTTGTAAGTCAAATGTTTTATAATGAATACATATTTGTAAAAGTTATTCCTCAATTATTTCTATATATTTGCGTTCGTCTGATCTTTCACAAAAATTTATTTTCCTAATCTAATTGATTTGTTTCTATTATTATTATTATTATTATTATTATTATTGTGCAGATGTAAGTAAGCTTCTTTATTTCAATTTTGATCGAATACTAAATAGTAACGTGTTTAAGATCGTAGGAATACCTCGCAAAGATCCATAATGCGTTCGCGTATACATATAAGTTATTGTAGTTAAACACAATTACCATTCGCGTTTTTTATAGCGTACAATCAAGCGAGTCACAAAAGATAAAAGCATCACTTTTCGAAGACCCATAAAAGTGTTGTTACCTCATATACACATATATATATCCACGCAATACTATTACACCGTTTATAATTTATGATTAATTAACGTTAAACGATTGCGCCTGCCGGTCATGACCAATTGCAATTGGTTTGTCTCTCACGTATGTACATGAACGTGTGCCTTGCAGTGTGTGCCATGCATATTGCGCTGTCCTAATGAGTCTCTCATTTTACTATGAAGTGTTTCCAGGTACCGCGATAAGAGAGGCGATAAATCGAGCTAATAATACCTTCAATTCGGTGCATTGTAAATGTATCGCGTGCCTTCGAAATACTTACTCCAATCACGCGCGATTAAATCTTTCAAGCTTTGATCGGATTGTAATTACAGATGAAAATCTGAATTGTGTTCCACATTTGCGTCCGCTTCGTATGATCGTCCATTAAGATAAGTCTGCGAAAACGTACTTGCCGAGATAACGTACTCGCTCCGGAGCGAGTGCTGTTTCCTAATTGAAAGATTCAGACAGTATATCCAGAGCTCGGTGCTATCGTGCATAGCACGACATATAAAATCACTAAAATCACGCATAGGCGACGCCCGTAGTACGATAGCTAGGAGAATTCTAATCCTAATATAAATGCTGTTTCGAACAGTTGTTCCCAAAATACCTTACGCTTAATCCAAGTTCACGTGATTCTATCCATCGTTCTATAATCTCTAGCCTAAGAATCTCTTCTATTCTGCGATTAGAAGATTCGCACGACACGAAGCTTTCCCATATTTCGTCCCTCGCTTCTTTACTTATTCGAAGCGTAACAAGAATACAGTTTCAAAGCACATTTCTTCATCAATAACTCGATATAAAAGCATCTATTAAATTAATTTTTCGAAACTTTATACATATATCAATAATAAGCTTGTAATTAGTCGCACGCTTGGTAAAACAACAAAGCGATGCACATCAATAAATAATATCGTTTAAAGAAACAGGAAAGAAAATATGTTACTACGTGTAAAATTCATTATAAGCCACACCTTACAAAGGTGTGGTTTATAATGCAATTATATACGATAATGTTCTATAATTATCACACATTGCTTCAAGCGTGTTAAATTAATGAAGATTAATTGCGGTCGTAAATTCTGAAATTATCAGGATTGTAATGATAAGAATAAATGAATAAACAAATATTGCATACATAAATAGGAAATACAATATTTATCCATTTTTACATTTATTCTTTACATATCAAGTTATTGGAAAAAAAGAAAAATTAATCACAAGAAAAGTAAAAAATTTAAAAATGGAGAAAAAATTAAAACTAAGGATTTATTTCGAAATCAAAAAATAGTCATCCACAAATTTATATATATTATTTTAAAAACAATCATAACCGTTATGAATTAATGCTAAACGTTTATCGTCCATGACAACTTAACGTTTATTTGCTCTAGAATGTGCACAATTTTATTAAATGCGATTTCGTATTTGAGTCAATCTACATATAATCTTATATAATAATAATATAATCTTATATGATATAAGATTAGCTTACTTTTCCTCGATATTCTTAAAATTTTTCAAATATATTTGCTTCTTTCGGGCGATACGTTTCCAAGTACAATGTAATTTAATCCTCGTGTAATCCTTAAGCAAATTTATATAAATATCAGTATTATTGTAGCGGAAATAAATTTGTATAAATATCAGTATCATTGTAGCAAATAACGCCATTCATCGATCGTTTCTCAAATATTCTGCTTTGCTACTGAATTTGCTTATTCACCACTGTCGAATGCTGACGATTAAAGCTTTTACGGACCTCCAACGGCTTAAATTCGCACAAAATATTCTAAATTGGAACTACGCGAGTATAATCTGATGAATTTATGCATCAGTAGTTTTTATTTGTTTGGAATAAACACCGGTTTTCCAAGCGTAACGTGGAATCGGAAATTTCGATTGTTGTATAATAGCTTGCGACACCTCGTAATCTGATTGCAGCGAACGCGATAATCCATTGATCAATTCATTATCGTTTGTTAATAATCCTAATGCTGAGTGCGTTTCAACGTCCTCATCATGACGAGCTAATAAATGCTCCGTTAGAAAATTAACAACCGTTAGCATCGCTTTCAAATTGTCATAATTAACGTAATTAATGCATGTAGATAGGATTATATCGGCAAAAATTACGGTGTTGATCACTAGCGATAAAAACACGAGATTTTTGTTTGATAATTTAGTCACCATGTCTCTTAGCCTTTCAATGCGAATTAAACTAATTGGCTGCGTGATAAATGATTATATTTTCTTTCTTTCTTAAAATACCGTTCGCGCAATATTTTAATAAACTTTTAAAAACTCGTAAACTTACTTGAAAATTCCACTTACATTCTATTTTAAATTCCGACGAAAGTTTGTAACTTATACATACGTGTTGCGTGTAATCTGTTTAACTGTTCCCTTTCCATAAATTTCACATTACAAGTCGTTATATTCCGCTACTAAAGGTTAACAACAATTACATGATTATCATTAGCTATGTACGTACCTACATGTAAATGATTACACACGAGTTTTCATGTTCGAAACGTGAGTTCGGTTTAATTCACCTGTCCAATTACGACTTGATAATGCCATCGATAACTTTGTCAACAAACAACATCAAATATGCACACATTGGTCGGTTCATTAGGTCTAATAATATGTGCACTCGCGTAATATCAGTCACTGTGACTGGTGCATCTATACCGAATCGGCCATGTATTATTTTCATTCGGCATTGAATTGGCACATTCAGCATGCACTTTGAAAAAGGTTACGCCCCACGATATTTCTGAACAAAAATGTGCCCGCGAGACCGCAATATCACGTTATTTTCATTCTCCCGTTGAGCATAACGTGTCATTGCCTTTCGCGCCATCCAATGTAAATTTATGTTGAAAGTGCTATACACGAACGTAACACCTGCGACTCCTGAAATACCAGCTCTAGTTAAATTTGATTGTCTGAACCACAGATTAGGTCGAACATACGTGCAATTGCGAAATATCCGCATGAGTGATGAATTTCATAATAATAACTTTATTAATAAATTAATCGCTTTCAATTATAATAATTCTAAAATCGACGTTTCAACAAAAACTTGTGCGCAGTCTATTTTCGGATTTTCATTTTTAATTTTCGACTTTAAGAGATTGAATGTAATTAAATCTTAAATTCATTTCTGTTAAAGAAAAGTAAAATTAATTAGAAAAAAGTGAAATTAACTGGAATAAATAAAATTTTTCTTGTCTGTTTAAATCTTTCAAAACTGTTGAAGCACGGAGTGTTTTAATTTTTGATGTCAACTTAATAATGAAGCCTAGAACACTCTCTATAGAACAGAAAGATTTAGTTTTCTTCAGGCGATGCTAAAGCCTTCTGTTTTACCACATTTCCATTCTCAAAAATCTCTGTATTGGATGTACGGATTGCAAAAGTATCATTACTTAAATTAAAGTACGCACAAACAGGACCTCAGCTGCACTGGATTTCATGAGAAAATCGAAAAAAAATTTTTAATTCGTTAAAAATTCACTTACTTTTGGCTCGTACAGCTGTCATCTCAGATATATATTTGCTTGATATAAGAGTTTTAGAGTCCATATCTTGAAAATAAGCGTGTAGCTGAGGTCACATTATTGAAACGAACGATACCGAGTTTGTAGAACTAAGATTGAAAGTCTAGAAAAGAAATATTTCCACCGAATAGAAAATACGTGTATACAGGTGCTTTGTGAAGACTGGAACTGTCAACAGAGCCGAAATTCAGTAAAGTAGTAGTTGCGCGGTCTTGCGATAGATGGTGCTGGCATATGTTAAGATGAGAACAGATGCATGCGTTTGAGTAAGACAGAATGATATATATTGGCTACGTTCGGAAACGTCGATCGGATGCCTCCGATGACTCGGATTCATCATCTGTCCTTGTTTTACATTTAATGTTAAACAAGGATAGATGATGAATCCGAGGCATCGGAGGCATCCGAGCGACGTTCCCGAACGCAGCCATCATATAAGATAATGTAAAAATTAAATCAAAGATGTCACCACTATTATCGAATTTTGAATTTAAAAAGTCTGTACTATCGATCTTGATCGAGTTGGGTAATCGGTTTAGCATTTCCCCTTAAAGAATCTTAGAAGAAAGTATGCGATTCTTGAAACGCTTCGTAGAATAGACGATGCTCGATATTACATCAAGTAAACTTGTTCTTATGAGTAAGCGATATAAATTTAATTGACTTTCAGGTACAACGTTATCTTCATGATATTGACATACTTTTTACCAATCGGATCCATGACGTTTACTTATGCCAGGGTCGGCTTGGAATTGTGGGGCTCGCAAAGCATCGGGGAGGCCACAGCCAGACAGCTCGAAAATATTCGAAGCAAACGGAGGGTATGTTTAAAATGAATTAATATCCGTACATAGTTTAGACACTGAAATTGCTTTCGTTCCACGATCGAAAGGTGATTTAAAACGGAAAGGCGCGTACGCGACATGAAAGCGCTTACGCGATTACGCGACTAAGTTCTTCTCTCTCCCTCTCATTTTGGTATTTTTTTTCATCTCAACAGTAGATAATATAAAATCGTTGCTTTTAAATACTTCGTGAACGAAGAGATGGATGTTAATAAACTCCATAAACTCATGTTGGAAATTGTTACACGCTTCTTGTGTTCGATGACGTTTAAGTAATTATAAGTGCAGTGTCGTGTCAGTACTTGTACCGTATTTACACGAAGTGATGCAACTGATTGTGTATAATCTCACGCACGTTCTTTATCTTACTCTCTCACCCGGTCAAAACCGATATACGAACTATTTCAATTAATTAAGTTTAAATTTAGACAATTTCTGTTCACGTTCTAGTCTTTTATTCGTTGTGCATACCGTAGCATGCCGAGAAAGGAATAAATATCGCTTCACTTCCCTTATGAGATGCTAAATAAATCATAAATATTTCATATTTACAAAAGGAATTCTGTATATTACAGCAGTATTGCATCTTACGTCTAATTATCTCTTCAATCAATGCAATATCAATTCAATACCTGTTGAATATCCATTGAAAATAGCGTTACGCGTTTATTGGCACATCGCACAGCAAGAAACTACCGATAGCGATCGTATAATGCATTTCATAGTTGTTCCCCTCTATCGTATAATGCATTTCATAATTGTTTCGCTCTATTACAGTCATTCATGTCTCATCAAAATCTCCGATCTTTTATTTCTTTTATATATATATATATTTTATATATATATATATATATACACATATATATACAATATATATGCAAAGGAAATTTTGCTAAAATATCTACAAATTTAGCTAGATACAGATCTGAAAATAATTTTATTAAACCATCAAAGTAATTGTATAGAAAACTTAGACATAATGAGCAATACTGCAAATATTTTTATATTTTAGCAACCGACTTGAGCGTCTTATATAATTATTTTGATAGCCTAACAAAATTATTTTCAGATTGCTCTAGGTAAATTTTTAGATACATAAAACAGTTTAGATAAATAAAACATTAAAAATAAAACTTCAATAAAGCCGTTCTTTGTGTAAGGGAGGGCATTTATGAAAAATCAATTATCAGTAATCTTTCATTAAAATTTTGAAAATATCTACTTTTATGTTATTTTTAATGCTGAATTTAATGATGTAAAAATAAATTAATAAAAAAATTTGTTTTTATTTTTTTTAAAAAAAATTTGACAAATGATTAGATCGTAAAATCCATACTTTTATTTGTTAGATATCTCTCATATAATATGTAGGGAAAAAATGAGTCAAAAAGTTAAACTTTTCTTGCTTTATAAAGTTTTTCTCGAAAAATAAATTTTTATTTTTTCAATGTCTGTGTATTTATAATAACACAAAGTACTTGTGATTTGTGACGAAACATAACTTTGGAATGGGTGTTGCACCACCATACAGGTCAGTATGACGGGTTGCCCATTCGTGCAGGCGCGCGAGATCGTTCACAATTGCGTAGACTTCGGCGGCATAATCATAGCACACACACACCTTTTTTTCCAATAAAATTTGTAGCATATCAAATTGTGATGCAATTATAACGAACTTCCGTAAAAATAGGTTAAAACAGAAGCCAAAGTGACAAGATATAGGTTATAAAAACGAATTTTATCTTGAAAACGAAGCATGTTTTCCTTCTTATAAGAAAAATTTGATCGCGCGAATGTAATCATTGTGTAATATAATTTGATTGCTTGAATTATTTTTACAGAGAACGAAAATCAGAAATAAACATATCTTTGCAAATTTAAATTATAAATCGACCAATAAATTTGATTCGCTGTAAATTTAAATAACGATAATTATCGTTAAATCTTATAATATTTATTTGGAAGAATAATAATTCATTAATAAATTATCAATATAATAAGAAGGAAAATATACTTTATTTTCACGATAAAATTCGTTTTTATAATCTACAGGGTGACCCATTTTAACTTAGACAGCCAAATAACTCGAAACATCGCGATTAAATAAAAAAATGTTTAAAACAAAAATTGTTGGATATGAAGGGGCTGATTGAACTATGACCTTGACAATGATCTTGACCTTCATTTTCAAGGTTATTTGAAGGTCTACTTTCAATTTTCAAATAGAAACCCATATTTTTGATTCAAGAATCTAATAGCTGATGTCGAGAGCTTTCCAAAACGCTATAATGAAATATTTTTTCATGAAGTACTTTTCAAGTTATAATGCTTCAAAGTTACAGTATCGCCGGCATTAGCATTACCCAAAATATTTAATTTTGGAGACTGGCCAGTTAACGCACAAATAAAAACATAACGCGTGGTATTACATATCTTGGGGAATGCTAATGCCGGCGATACTGTAACTTTGAAGCATTATAACTTGAAAAGTACTTCATGAAAAAATATTTCATTATAGCGTTTTGGAAAGCTCTCGACATCAGCTATTAGATTCTTGAATCAAAAATATGGGTTTCTATTTGAAAATTGAAAGTAGACCTTCAAATAACCTTGAAAATGAAGATCAAGGTCATTGTCAAGGTCATAGTTCAATCAGCCCCTTCATATCCAACAATTTTTGTTTTAAACATTTTTTTATTTAATCGCGATGTTTCGAGTTATTTGGCTATCTAAGTTAAAATCGGTCACCCTGTATATCTTGTCACTTCGGTTTTTGTTTTAACTTATTTTTACGGAAGTTCGTCATAATTGCATCACAATTTGATATGTTACGAACTTTATTGGAAAAAAAGGTGTGCTATGATTGTGCCGCCGAAGTCTACGCAATTGTGAACGATCTCGCGCGCCTACACGAATGGGCAACCCGTCATACTAACCTGTATGGTGGTTGTACATATGGAGATTTAGAACAAAAATTACACTAGTTTATAAATAATTTTTTTTTTAATTACTTTGGACCGGACTACGTGTCTCTTATAGATTTTTAAATGCTGAAAACGATGCCGCAAACGAAAAAATTCTAGCACGTCAGATTTCCAAGATAATTGAGGTTTAATACTAAAGAAATGGTTTTTTTTGCGATATTTGACATTTTTTAATAAAGAAGGTTAACTTGAAATTTCGATCAGGATTCATGAATGTATTGTTCATCCCCTATAAGATGCATTTCTTTTTATTTCAATACCTTACTTTTTAGCCATACGATAAACGATTAAAGATAAGAGCTATTTCGAATATGAGGACCGCAGCAGCGTCATATGCGCATGCGATAACGCTAAAATCATTTTAAAACATAACAACGCGCATACACACATACATAGAGAGAGAGAGAGAGAGAGAGAGAGAGAGAGGGGGGGGGGAGTTGGTTTATGAAAGATATGTAGTTGCATATTACTAATTGCATTTTTTTTTTCAGCAACGATGTATTTTTATTACACCAGTGGATTAGTCTCATAATTCTCTGTGCATAAAAGTATTAAGATACAGGTATCAAAATGTGACCCTAAAAAATTAATCCGCATACACATATGACGCTGCCGGAGTCACCATATTCAAAATAGCTCCTATCTTTAATCGTTCATAACATGGCTAAAAAGTAAAGTATTGAAATAAAAAAAATACATTTTATAGGGGATGCACAATGCATTCATGACTCCTGATCGAAATTTCATGATAACGTACGTTAACCTTCTTTATTAAAAAATGTCAAATATCGCAAAAAAGCTATTTTTTAAGTATTAAACCTCAATTATCTTAGAAATCCGACGTGCTAGAATTTTTTCACTTGCGGCATTTTTTTCAGCATCCAAAAATCTATAAAAGACACGCAGTCCAATCCAAAGTAATTTTTTGTTGTAAATTAGTGTTATTTGTGTGATTACGATATTTTCAGAGTTTCGAACACGGAATTAAAAATACATAACTAGTTATAAATGTACATAAAATGATATTACGTGAACAACTGAATAAATTTAACTATCTTATTAAAAATCAATTATAACATACTTCGACTGATAAGTAATAAACATTTTTATTGCACATGTTTACAATTATACAGAGATTCGAAAAGAATGGGCCTGCCCTATAATCTCCAAAAGTACGCACTTTCAGGAAAAATGACTCCAATAAAAGTTGTAGGGGTTACGAAGGATTATCTTTTGGTGACGTTGAATAACTGTTTGAAGGTCACATAAAGGTCATTTTTAATTTTTTAAATGGAATTTAAAATTTTTTATTAAATATTCTTGTAGCTAACCTCGAGAGCTTTTCAAAACACTATAATAAAATTTTTTTTTGTGAAGTACATTTTGAGTTATAAGGCTTAAAAGTTACAGTACCGCCAGCATTAGCATTACGCAAGGTGTCTGACCGACGGCTAAAACTTTTTGAATGTTGTTCAGAATCATGTCCTAAATAACATTTATCGAAATCAAGATCACTGGAGGTTGTTCCTCTTATTTTCATTTTTGCACTAAAAATTCATTTTTACGTAAAAATGAAAATAAGAGGAACAACCTTCAATGACCTTGATCTCGATAAATGTTATTTAGGACATGATTCTGAACAACATTCAAAAGATTTTAGCCGTCGGTCAGACACCTTGAGTAATGCTAATGCTGGCGGTATTGTAACTTTCAAGCCTTATAACTAGGAATGTAGTTCATAAAAAAAATTTTATTATAGTGTTTTGAAAAGCTCTCAAGGTTAGCTACAAGAATATTTAATAAAAAATGGGGTTACATTTAAGAAATTAAAAATGACCTTTATGCGACCTTTAAACAATTATTCAAGGTCACCAAGTTCAAAGTCACTAAAAGATAATCTTTCATGACCCCTACAACTTTTATTGGAGTCATTTTTCCTGAAAGTGCGTACTTTTGGAAATTATGGGG